TCATCAGAACCCGCGTTCAGTTCTGCGGAAGAACTGAACGGGTTCTGATGAGAACAGTGTAAGCGTTCAAGCAAACCACTTCTGAAGATGCAAGCCACTCGTGCTTGCGAAACGTCAGGAAGAAATTCTACCGAACAACGGCCTAAAAACCCGAAAAACCCATTAGTTTCACAGTATTGGAAGGTGACGGAAGGATTCAAAGAGGCAGGATAAGAGAAGGCCAAAGAACTAACAAGAATTGAGAACATTCCTGGAATGTGGGAAAAAGTTTTTTTTTATTTTCGAGATTTCCAATTTCTGACTGATAAACCTGTGTAGATTTCCAGCAAGGGAGAGAATATTGCATTTTCCTTGATAACGTGTAAAACTCTGAGCAAAATTCGAGCTTTGGCAACATAGATTACGCAGATCTGCCGACAAATCTCCATAAATACCTGTTGAGAGCGGTTCACTTCCTGCAATTTCTGTCGTCATTTATGTCGTTAAGGAGTGGCCGTTTTTTTACCTAAATGAGCCGATTAAATGTATAAAGTCGCTTCGATGCGGATTGCTCAAAGATGTTTTTTTCCAATCGAAATCGCATTCCTATACATTTGTCTCTTGGGCTTAACGATGACTGATGACCATCCGGATTAAATCAATGGATCGGAATCGGAAAAAACCATCCAAATGTGTTGAAGGTGTGCATTTCTTTTGTCACCCCGCAATGGCGAAATACTTTCACATCTTAAGGTGGTTGGGTGCGAATATCAGATGATCTTGAGAACAGCTGAAGACATTCCTTTGCTTGGGTTGATTGTCACCTCACTTTCTCTTCTATGGTTTTATAATCACTCTCAGTGCCAAAGATAAGTGAGGTTTTCCTTTAATGAATTTTTCCAAAGGCGTGGAATCCGATGAGTTGAAGCGCACTTTCCCTTGTTTCGTGGTGGCATGCGAAACTTTACATAACCTGGTGATAATCATTGTTGAAATAGTCGATTCGTAAAAATCAATTAGTGATTGCGATAATTTTTCGAATGTTCCGCCGCTAATCGGTGTCAGTGGCGAACGTAAAATTTTACG